GAGGGAAATGAGGAGAGAGTGAGAGGCATCGAGGAGAATGAGAGAAATAAGCCTTAGTGGAAGATAGTGGAAAGAGAAGAGTGAGAGGAATGGAGAATGAGGACTGTGGAGAGAAGGGAGGTATAGAGAGAGCAGAGTGAGGATAGCGGAGAAGAGGAGAATGAGGGGAATTTCAGACAAGGGAAAATGGAAGGGAATGAGAAACTACGCAGAAAACGGGAGTGGGAGTAATAAGACGAATGAGGAATGCAAAGAAATGAGAAAGAGGAAATCGAAAATCAATAAGGAAAAGGAATGAGGGAGATGGGGTCGTGGGGAGAGGATAATGAGGGAAAACATCTGAGGGGATCATGAGAGAAAAATGAGGGTCACTATGAGGAGGCGTCAATTCCTGAATCGAATCTCATGTATACGATATTGGTAAATGAAGTGATTCTGTAAAAAAAAATAAACAAATAGGTAAATAAACAAAGGAAGACATGAATAAAATTGAACAAAAGCTCTTGGAAAAAAAAACATACAATATAAAGACAAATCGAAATGACGAAGAAAAAAAAATTGAAAAGCGAAGAAAATTGAGAGAACGCGTGGAAAGAGGCAACACAATGACACAGACGGACTAAAATACGTGTCATCCTTAGCATATCCCTTGCGAATAACCAGAGGAAGAGGTTTGGGTTTTTGTTGACATTGCAAACACTGGATCATGCATAGGCTGAGGAGCTATGCATTCGCTTAGCATGTGTCAGTAACGCTGTCGAATAAAATTGAGATTAACAAGATTCCGAAAGACCCCTTGATACAAGCTTGTGCGTTGGAGATGAAGTTCTCTCTAGAAAGAATTTCGTGATTGCAATTAAAATGGTCAAAAGTTGATTAATAATTACTGTATAGTTATGGCAAATCCTGCGATGCTTGTTCTCTCTAGAAAGAATTTCGTGATTGCAATTAAAATGGTCAAAAGTTAATCAATAATTACTGTATAGTTATGGCAAACCCTGCGATGGCTGTTCACTCTCTGATAAACATAGAATATAATCATATTATTTCATATAAGAATAGATATAACGACTATTGTATAAGGTATAATCGTATGTGTTATGATTAATCGCCCACTTTTCCCAGCCTCTAGGATCACATAAACGTAGATGATAAAATAAATTCTCTTCCGTGGTCTAAGCTATCTTAATCCGCGGGGAATTAACATTGTTCTTTCCGTAGAGAATTAGCGCTATACTTCCCTGTTCTGTGAGGGAAGTATAGCGAGCGGAGAGGCTAATTCCGCTGCCAGGTCACGGGAAATACTTAAATACAAGAATATATAATGGAAAAAAATGCCAGGAGGGGTTGTTATTAGGCTGTTGCTTGTTCTCGCTTTCTGTTTACTTCTCCACCTCCTTCTTTGACTTTGTGTGTGTGTGTGTGTGTGTGTGTGTGTGTGTGTGTGTGTGTGTGTGTGTGTGTGTGTGTGTGTGTGTGTGTGTGTGTGTGTGTGTGTGTGTGTGTGATGGTGATGATTGTGATTGTGCCTGTGCTTGTGTGTGCGTGCGTGTATGTAGACATCAATAATAAACACGCTAATAGATTCTTTATTGCCAAGCACCAAAACATGACAATAACTTCCAACAAAAAGCAATCAACAGGGCCGTTTGCGGGTGTCAGCGCCTAATCCTCGGAACCCATAATTGAACGCACCCGTTGGAGACACGAGCACTCTGCCGAAGCGAACAAGAACAATAACTGGCTTTAGGGGATGTTGCTCGTGTCGGCGCGTTCAATTTGGCGACATGCACGTTCGTGTCTTTTTCTCGTGTGACGCATTTTCCTCATCCTTGTTTTTGTCTTTTTCTTCTGTTTATCTCAATATTTTTTTTAGCTTTTTAGAAGGATTTTTTTCAGGGGGAGGAGGAGATGCATTAGAGAATTGAAAGAGATTGTCGTTACGAGTGAGAAGGGAAAAAAGAGATAGGGAAGGGAAAAGAAGAACATAAACAAGTTAACCGAGCTATGGGAGTCGGAATCTTTAAGTTGTTGGGGTTTTAAGCGGGAGGGGCGTGAGGGGAGTCGAAATGAGCGCGGGGACTTAAGAGGGGAGCAGGATAAGGGGAAGGGGTGAGTGCAAGGCGTCCGGGGCGGTCTGAGGGAAGGATAATGGGCGGGAAAAGGATTACTAGGTCACATGTGGCGGCACTTAGCACAGGAGTCTCCCGGTCCTGGCTATCCTTCAGGAGAAATGGCCGTCGGGAAAGTCTTGTTGAAAGCGGCGAGGGAGACGGTGAATAGATGAATAAATTCTCATAAATTCACGGTTGGGGTTAAGATTTCGTTGATAAAGCTTCTTCTTAATCTTTTCTTCCTTTTTCTTTTCTTTTTTTTGGTGACTTATTCAGTATCCTGTCGGCGTTGAAGACCGTAAATAAAATCAGTGGAACGTAACTTCATGAATCCATTGGAAATCGATTTGGACTGAATATGTTTTTATTCAGAGATTGATCTAGAAGAGTGATTTTGTGGTTCTGGAGGAAGGATGGCTTGTGTCACCCGCTCTCTTGATGCATTTTCTATAACCCTTGTTCTATATTCAGTTAACAATATCTACATACATCTTACCATGTTACGTCACTCGTATCTAATATAGATATAGATAACCGTCAGAACAAGCTGAGTTCCCCGACGTTTTTCTGTCCGTCTCGTCTCTTTGTCATCCGTTGCATGTTATCTTATGCCTTCCTCCCTTTGTCTACATTTGCATAAAGACCGTCGTCAGAATTCCCGCCTCAGGCAGCCACACNTTTAACTGTAGGAAACGGGACCATCTGAACTTGGATTTTCTCCCGTATTGAAACAACTAGGTAAGAAAACACACGCACACGCAGGCACACACACACACACACACGCACACGCACACACATTCACAAAGCATAAAGATGATATGAAGGATATTGAGTACTGGAAAAGGTGACAATGTAGAAATTAAACTGAACGTAAGTAAGGAAAGAAAGGATAAGTAGAATTATGAGAGGGGATTACAGAAGCCGAAAAGATTTCTTTGATGGCATAAACTGGGAAATGAGAACCTTTATGTGCCATATTCAGAATTTTGCAGTCTATAAATAGGAAAATTCAAATTGATTTAAAACTGAAGCAAGAAATGGTAAAAATGGTTTGTGATAAATGCAAGGAAATGGGAGAAAACAAGCAGCTCCTTTGGAAAAGATTCAGAAGACATAGATCTCAGGCAGCGTGTGAGATAAGTAGGAATAAATGAGTATATCCAAACCAAGAGGGAGGCGAAATTAGCATATAAACAATTAATGAACATCAACCAAAGCTCTTTTTGGAACTACATAAATCGTAAAAATATAAGTAGAGATCAAATTAGTGCCATCAAAGACAGTAATATTGTTTATACTGAAAAGGAAATGTGTGAAAACCTTATTGAAAAATTTCAGTGTTTCTTCAGGACCCATACTTTGAAATGACAAATGCCCGCATAAACGTAAAGAAAATGTTACCCTAAAAATAAGTAAATAAAAGATTACTGAAAGGATTAGAGAAGGCCAAAGCAGAGGGACTAGATGAGATTTCTAGCTGGGTTCTCAGGGAATGTGCCGAACTACATACTCCTATTGTTAATACCCCAAAATTTAGTGACAAGGAAAACTATCAAAAAGGTGAAAATTCGCGTTTGATAAAGTGTTTCCAAGAAGGCCGTTATGGAAAGTGGAACATCTAGGTGGAGAGAAAAGCAAACCTCTCGAATGGATGAATGACAGAACACCGTAATTAGAGGGGAGTACTGTACACGGTGACGAGTAGCTAGCGGAGTGCCTCAAGGATCAGCCTTGGCACCGTTTTTGTTTACTATTTTGTCAATGATTTAAGGTCACCCATAAGCCCAGGTAATCATCTGAATGTGTGCAGACGACGCGAGAATACAAAAAAAAAAAAAAAAAAGGATAACACAATCTTAGGCCAATGCCTCCAAAGTGACATTGAAAACTTGTTCATGTTAATTTGTTCTTGGAAAATGGAATTCAACACCGATAAATGCCACGCAAGTTTGGGTAAGGGAGAAATCGTCCACTATTCCAATATAAATCAGTAGACCCAATATCAAACACAACTGACTGGAAAAAAAAAATTGGGTAATCATAACCAGAAACCTAAGCCCGAATGATCATATAAATGAAAAGGTCCATAAGATGATAGGACTGACTGCCAACATAAAGAGGCCATTCGTGTATGTGGACGAAGATATGGCAAAGAAAATAATTACAGCCATCATAAGACCTAGTCTAGAGTATCGTGCAGTGGCATGGAGTCCACACTTAAAAAAAAAAGATATAGACGCACTGGAAAGAGTTCAAAGAGCAGCCAGAAGATGGGCACCTGATTCAAAGAGACATAAGCTAAGAAGATAGACTACAAAGATTAGGTCTTACTACTTTGGAAGGGGGTGAGGGGCATGTTCATGATGTTTGACGATGTTACAGGAAGAGTGAAGTTTAACAAAGATGACTATAATTCTGAGCACAAGAAAGACGAGAGGACACACTAAAAAGTTGAGGCGATAAAAATGTTAAAAAAAATAGTTTCCAAAACAGAACTATTGGAGCATGGAACACTAATTTAAAAGATGCGACAATTTAACTATAGCAAACATAAACCCCCCTTCAAACATACCACACACACACATCCACATACATAAACATCACACCCACGCACAAATAAACACACTGACATAAACAAACACACGAGCACAGACAAAAAAAAAAAAAAAAAAAAAAAAAATACATATACAAACTCCACATACATGCACGAACACCACACTTGCACACACACGCACACAAGCACAACACACGCACACAAGCACAGCACACGACAAACACAACACAAGCACATACATGCATATTGCATAATAACCATGACTAGCAGATATTCTACCGAAACCGCTCTCCCACGAACACTCCCGGATGCAGAGAAGGATCTTGCAGAGATTAGATATAGATAAGGATGGAACGACTTATGATAAGAGGCTATTTATTATGGCAAGCAAACCCTGGAGTGTTGCATAAAGACAACAGTTTAACCTCATAGGCGATACCGAGGAGACTGCCTTGCTTTTCGCTCTTTACCTGTAAGTACTGACCACTTCGTTCTGCAATTATGTTTTTAGTTTTGAAAAAAAAAAGTTTTCTTTTAATGGAATAAAGTGACTGTGGGTGGAGGGGATGATGATAATAATGAAGCAAGTGATAATAGTGACAATAATAATGATGATAATGATAAAAAATAATAATGATGGTGATGATCCTAATACTAAGAACACCAATCCTAATACTAATTGGTACTGATACTGATAATGTTAATAAAAATAGTAATTATAATAATCATAACAATAATATTAATAATTATTATGATAATCATAATACTAATAATCATAATAGTATTACTAACAATAAGAAATGATAATATGATAATAATAATTGGTGATAATAATAATAATTAGTAATAATAATAATGGTAATAATAATAAACATAATGATAATAATAATAATAAAAAAGACAATAATAACAATAACAATAATAAATAATCATTGTAATCATGAGAAAACAACGATATGAAAACAATCACAAAAACGACGACCTGCCTCTCTTTCCCTCACTTCAACTTCCCAAATCCTTTCCAGACGAAGCAACATTCGAGAAAGAAGAAAGGAGAGGAAACGCCACCGCAACGAACCCCACAGAGCCAAGATGAAGGCGCCCTCGGGAGGCAAACAGATCACGAAGGCCTGGCTGGAGTTCATGCTGGCCGACTTCGAGGGCAAGGAGCGGCCCGGCACGAAGGTCTCCGTCGTTGATTTCACCGTCAGTCAAGGTGGTTGTCGATGAGGGGGAAGTGAAGTGAAGTGTGTGTGTGTGTGTGTGTGTGTGTGTGTG